ATTTTGGTCATGTTGTCAGAAGGGACCATTCCCTGGAGAAGGATGTCATGCTTGGTAGGGTGGAGGGTCGACGAAAGAGAGGGAGGCCTTCAACGAGATGGATTGACATGGTGGCTGCGATGATGGGTTCAAGTATAGCAGGGATTGTGGTGCTGGTGCGGGATCGGGCAGTGTTTCATTCTGCTGTGCATGGGGTCGCTATGAGTCGGAAACGACTTGATGGCACTTAACAACAACAACAACTCCTTCGTTTCAGAGCCCATGATCTTTTTACTACATCATGTTGTCTTTCTAATATTTTACATAATAAGGGAAATAATTGCTGTGCTTTTTTTAGCTTAACATAACAACTTTCTGTAAAAGACTAATCATGTATGTGGGAGACCTGAGAGCTATATTAACCTGAAATAGGAATCTGAGGTAACTTGATGTGCTGATAGGACCTCTGAGCTAGGTTTGGTAGTTGCTGATACTGGGGACTAGAGTTGGAAATGGCTGAGAGCTTTTTAGTAAATTGATAGGAGAAAGTAAAAAGAACTTAATTGTGGATTCAGGATAGAGGAGTCTGGGATAATAAATCTATTAGAATGATTTTATAAGTTAGAATAAAAAGAATAAAGAAAACAGGCAAAGCACCGTTGGGTTAATAAAATCCTGTATTGATTGTTGAGATGACTCAGCTAGGACATTTACTGAGATCCTTCTTATTAAGCATTTCCTATTATGGTCAGAACCTAGCGATGAACATCTTTATCAAGTCACATGGCTGAAATAAGAGCAGACTTGACTTGAAACAGAAGAGGATGAATCTGGTACCCAGGTCCCTTGATCATTGGGACCTACAATGTAGATCTTAGGGTTTAGGTCCATAGAGGATAGATAGATGCTGGTTAAAGAAATGAGCACAGCATAGCCCTAACCCATAGAGATGAGTATCTTTGAAGTTCAAGAATGAGGAAGGACCCGAAGACTAGATAGCAAAGTGGCAACATGGAAGGGATTGATTAGATACAAATAAAAAGCCTTAATGAGTAATTGAAATTGTACTGCAATTTCTGTTGCATACAATTACATCATAAATTTCTCTTCATACACTTGAGCTGACTGTGTATTTAGGTATAGTGGCCAGGATAAGGAGAAATGGCACTGTCCAAGAAGGGAAAGAGAAGGGCCAGGAAAATGTGGACATGTTTGAGGATAAATCATCTCTTTCATGTCTCAGTGATGGCAGTAGAAGGTAAACTAAAAGCAAAAGCAGTGGTAGGACAGCTTTTGTTTGGGGATGAGCCCTTAGAGGACAGTTTTTATTACTTCATTAAAATCGGTACCTCTTTCTATAAAAACAAACAAAATCATTGCTATTAAGTCAGTTCTAACTCATGGTGACCCCATGTGCTACAGAATAGAACTGCTCCGTATGGTTTTCTTGGCTGTTATTGTTACAGAAGCAGATCACGAGGTCTTTCTTCTGTGGTGCCACTGGGTGGGTTCGAGTTGACCATGCTACCCTGGGAGCTCTTTCTATGTTGCTGTTGTGTGCCATTGACTCGATTCCAACTCATGACCTTATATGACAGAGTAGAACTGCCCCATGGGGTTTCGTAGGCTGTAAACCTTGACAGGAGCAGATCCCCAGGTCTTTTCTTGTATGATGTTATTGGTGAGTTTGAACCACTGACCTTTCAGTTAGCAGCCGAGCTCTTAACTATTACATCATCAGGGCTCCTCCTTCATTTTCTGTAGTACATTCTAAATTATCAGTTGACTTTTTAAATAAGGTAGTAGTATGTAATCAGTAAAAGCAACAGTGGAGATCAGCCTTGTAATGCTGCTAATCATGGTTGAAATTTCTGATGCTTGACATTTACAGCTAGTTGATCCTTCACATCTCAGATCAGAAATTTGTTTGACAAACTTTCTGAATAATTTATTGAAATTCAAGGAGGTCTCAGTTTTTTTTTTCCTTTTAACATTTCAGTAGGAAGAAAATTACAATCGTGAATAAATTTATTTACTGAATAGAATTGTAATTTAAAATAGGATGTTAAAAATATCTTTTAATACTGCCTTTTCATAGTATTGTGGCCAGGTGGCTTAGTTAGAAAATGGCATTTGGAACCCTTGGCCAACATCAAAGGTTTGATCTTTAGATAAAGGAGATCTTTGTTGTCCTTCAGTTCAGCTTTTCATCCAAGGAAGGAATCTCTTCAGCATCTCTGACAAGTGGTAATTTAAACTTAGCTTGAAATTTCCATTTTGAGAACAGTCCTCTTTTTGAAGCTTTAGTGCATCCAGTGTCAAAGCAGGTATCTCCTGTACAATTGACTTACATGGATATGCCACAGGTCAGAGGGAGCTAGGATAGAGAGCATGGGCCAATCTCTGTTACCAAGGGAATTCAGTTCAAGCATTCATGTGCATATGAAGGATAGCTCATGCTAATCATAGTTTTAAATTTTTGCAAATTCAGAATGAGGCATTTAAAAATAACCTACTTTTAAAGAAAACAAGTAGCTGCTCATAGTGCTAGAGAGAGTTTAGCAAAAAAAAAATCAAACTTTCATTTGTCTTTCTTTGTCATTATAGATATTGAAACAAATTGTTTAGAAGAAAAAAGCAAGAGAGACTATTTTACACAATTGGTATTAGCATGTTTGGTAAGTATTAATTATTTTTCTTTTCTAAGTTTTGTATTGAACAATTGTTACCACAGTTAATCATGTTAATGGAGAAGGATGTTGACATTCAGTTGACTATTCAGCTATAAAGGGAGGTTTGGATTTTGAAATGGAATGTTTTGTGAAATTAGACATACTGATTATTTCCATGAAAAAGCCATGTTACCATGTTCTTTAAACTATTTATAAATGTATTTCTTATTTAGTATTTTAGTAAGTTCTTAACTAAGAAAAAGGTGAGCAATTATAAAATGAATAGGAATGATTTGGAGAGCTTTTAAACTGAAAAATTTCATAATATCTTTATTAGGCAAGGGGGAAAATAATAGAAATAGTTTAAAAATAATAAATTCAAGAATGTGTCATAATCATTGTAGAATAAACCATTTCATGTTAATAAATTTAGAACCAAGGAGAAATGCCATTACTCAGATCTGGAAGAATGTCCTTGTCTTCTACTGTCAGAATTTGACTTACAGTAGAAACTGAAGGAGGCTGAAGTGCTGTATTTAGTGAAAATTCAGTTAAAACAGACTCAGTTTTAATCAAAATTTCATCTGTAGTTCTTGGCATTTGTGGGTAGTATAGAATGTGTGTATGTGTGTGTGTAATTTTTTTTTTTAAAGAGCCATATGTTACAGATTTCAATATTTGGAGAATCATCATTTTTGTTAAATTGAGGTTTCAGGCCCTTTTATAAATTGCAAATTTGTTGATATATATAGGATGTGATTTTTGTGTTCTTATTTGGTAAAATTATTTTAAATTTATTTAAGATTGTGGATGCACAGTTGGGATGCTGAGGAGTAAATGGCCTTTAATATTTTTAAATACAGAATTTAGTTTCAGACACAGTTCTAAAGGAACGCCTGGATCCAGAAACCTTGGAATCATTGGGCCTTATCAAACAATCACAGCAATTCAATCAAAAATCTGTTAAAATCAAGACAAAACTTTTGTAAGTACATGTATCTTATGTTACTGATCTTGTAGCTGAGTGTGTTTTCTAGTTCTCAATTTGAATACTAGCAGTTTTAAAGATTTTTTTTGTTGTTGTTGCTATTAGCATGTGCCTTGTGTTTTTTTTGCTTTTTGAAAGTAGCCTAAGATTACTGATTTGGCAGTAAACTTTACCTTTGTGAAACTGATGTTAATTTTATCCATATTAGAAGTTAAAGTAACATTCAGTGCTTTCATTACTATCCATAAAGTAATTTATAGCTAAGGCTGTGTACTTTTACGTATATTTTTAGTTTGTGGAAATAGTGGTCCTTGCTATTAGCTATCTCCTCTTAGCGTAGTACTCGTTTTCCTATGTAATTAAAACTGGAGTGTCTCTTACCAATCATTGTGTCTAAAAGATACACACAAAGAGGTAAATTTTCAGTGCCTATTCTAATGATTGTTGTAAGTTAGAGAGAGAAGGTAATTCAGAATAGAATACACTGCTGTTAATTGAAATTAATTTTATCAAGCTTGTTAATTGAAGTTAATTTTATCCCCTTAATCTATTTTTCTGATTTCAGTTATAAGCAGCAAAAATTCAATTTGTTAAGAGAAGAGAATGAAGGTTATGCCAAGCTGATTGCTGAATTGGGGCAAGATTTATCTGGAAATATTACTAGTGATTTAATCTTGGAAAATATCAAATCTTTAATAGGTAAGAGTTATCTATCTACTATGTGTTATTATTAAGTTTTTTATATTAAAACTACTGGAGAATATCCATGAAGACAAAATGAGTGCATTGAATATAGTCATTTTTCTCTTAAGAAATGAGAGACGTTTCTAGCTTGTACTTTTAACATTTTTATTCGCAATAATGGGGTGACATTAGAAATCTTCTTGTTGCTATTACCTATGTATTTGTATTTGTTCCTGCACTCTTTTAGTATTTCTGTCTTTAGTTTTTTTTTTTAGTATTTCTCAGTCATTTTATAGAGGGCAGAAAATAAATAGGCAAATGTGAACTTTTAAATAAAATCTTCATTGAGATTGTGAAATTTGGAGATAAATAGTTCTTTTGAACTTTTTAAAAAATTACTATTAAAATGGACTTGGACACACATTTTATCTTTCTAGCCCTGTAAGGTAAGTACAGCAGATGTTGTAAAAGTATGTAACTGATAGGAATGTGTTATTATATCTACCTTTTAAAATACAATTTTTTAGCAATATTTTTTTCTTTTTATTTCCATTGAGTATTTGGAGAAAATACTTGGAATGACTGTAGAAAAATATAGTAATCCTAATTTTTCAAGGATGGAAGGGGTTTTGCTATTTATTATTTATTAGGTGGTGTGCTATCCTAGGGAAAAATTTGCAATACCTAGGTGTCTTAGATTTGAGAACTGTCATACAAGCCATATTCCCTGCCTTACAGGTTATATTTTAAAGGATGCTTGTGCTCAGTTTCTCAGTTTGTTCTTTCTGTTTTGGGACTTTATATATGGCTAAGGAAGAGAGAGAAGGTGACTCAGTCTTTATCTCCTATCTGCAGTGCTCTGTGTAAGACCCAAATAAAACTATTTACTAGTCATCCTGTTTTTAGCTTAGGATTTTGGTGACCAGCAAGTAAAGAACGCAAGGAACTTTCAGTTTAAATTTACTTTTGGAGTAAGATTAATTCTGGTAGCTGATCTTTACTACTTCTTCCTGCTGTTAATTTAACACCAAGAGTAGTGCAAACTCCCCCTCCCCCGCAGCGCTCTTGCTTGCTTGTATGACAGTGACTCATTTTAATAATCTTTCTGTTGGAGTTCCTTTCCATTCTTTCCAGGGTAGGCTCTGTACTTTTCCTACAGCATTTTGGTTTTGCTTCAGAAGCATGGCAGTACTACTTTACTATAGACTTGCTTTTCCTTGTATCCTGTTATGTACTTAGTTAAGATAGTATTCCCCATATATTGGTCTAGGCTAGATGTTATATGGCTGGTTTGCCTTTTTTCTTTAAGAGCCAGCTATTGCTGTAAGAGTAAATACTTTTTACATCTCGCTCTTATGATAGAGGAGCCCCTTAGATGAACAGGAAATCCTCATTAGTATTACACCAGAAGTACTCTCTGTGTGTGGAGTGAGTGGTCACTTAACTGCCTTAGTTTTCCCAGGTTTCCACCTGGGTTGTATATATGGGTTACTCTATGTATTATACCTATACTGATCTCCTATGGCTTTTTACATAGACTGAGAGATAGGTGGATACCTTGCTGAGAAGCTTAAGGAAAACAAAATAGAGGTATAAAGTAAAAGAAAAAAATTGAGCCGCTTACATAGTACAAAATTTTTATTTCAAGAAACTAGTTTGGTTGCAGAATTTTTAGGCTGCAACCTAAAAATTACAGGAGGCACAGAAGCTGGTTCTTTTCCTGACGCCATCTTCTGATACACAAAAGGATTTGTTCACATCTGGGCTAGCACTAGACTTCTGACAGGAGTCAGCAAACTCTTTTTGTAAACAGTCAGATAGTAAATATTTTGGGATTTATAGGCCATGTGGTCTCTGTCCCAGCTACTCAGCTTTGCCACTGTGGTATGTGAGCAGCCATAGACAATACAAAAACGAACAGCTGTGTTGCAGTAAAACTTCATTTATGGACACGGAAATTTGAATTTCATATAATTTTCATATGTTTTCCAACCTTTAAAATGTAAAAACCATTCTTAGCTAATGGGCTATAGAAAACAGGCAGCAGGCCATATCTGGCCTGTGGGTCCTAGTTTGCCAGCCCCTTGTTTTTTGTGCTAGGTGTCATGGTGGCAGTCTCATCTGGAGACTTGGGGGAAAATTGGTGTAGCTGGAACAATTAAAGAAATGATCTTGCGAAGTAAGTTTAAGATAGCATGGATTACCGATTCCTCTCTGTATGAGGGTGATTTCTGTATACCTTTTAAATTCATGAAAATGACTTGAAATCCCAAAAGAAACGTAGACCACTAGAGTGTTTAAGTAACTCTTCCCTAGTGAAGGGATCATGGAAGGGCATTTCTGTAAACCTCATTTGAAGTTTATCATTAGCTTAACATCTTGCTGGTAACACCGCCCCTCTACACAGAATCTGTACTTCTTTGCTTCCTTTTCTATCCATTTTTTAAAAAAATAAAAATTATTTGTTATCAGGTAATACATGAGCATGACTAAAGAAACTAGGCTGTACTAAAAGACTTATAATAAAGAAAAGATAACCTGTTTTCTAGAGGAATCCATTTTCTTCTGCTATTTCTCCTGGCATTTATTTCCATAACTCAAAGTGACATGCCTTTATTGCTGTTGTTTGATGGTTTAGTTTTAAATGCTATCTATTGACTTCCTACTATGTGCAGTATCAGGATTTATCTCTTATACCATGTCCCACTCATACTTCCCCATTTCCCATCCTTTCAGTGTATTAAGAGTTATATTATGATTTGTTAAATCGCTACTTACTGTTTATATTTTTACAACTATATAATATGCACATGAACTGCATAGTTTTCTGTGAGTATATTTTCTTTTTTGTATAACTTTTTGTTTTTCTTAGAATTAACAAATCCTTGATTTTTTTTCCCCTGTATTTTCTGTGGAATCTATGGCTAATTTATTTCCTAATTCAGAAATCTCTAAGATCAGTACATCATGTTTCAATCAGTTCCATTTTTTCCCCCTTGGTGATACCCCTTCTGGCACCCTGCAGCCTCTTCCTCTAATCTATATTTGCTCAACTGTTGGGGTTCTAGAACTTCCCTTCACCATCATCTTGGGAAATCATTCTTTTCTTTCCTGTGTTGTATCTCTTGTTTGCCAAATCATGTTTTTCTGTTTCTTTGTTTACTTTCTTGGTTTGAAGGAGCATATCTTCCAGTAGCTTTCAGAGAATGGGTATATGACAAATATAAATTGATGCCTAACATCTTTGAAAATACCTTTATTTTACCCTTTCACTCGAACAACACTTTGACGAGTATCATTTTCCTTCAGAATTTTTGAAGACATTGCTTTGTTTCTGGTTGCCAGTGTTGTTAAGCAGCCTGAGGTCATTCTGGTTCTTGGTCCTTTGTAGGTGGTCTTGTAACTTCTCGAGGTTTTTTAGGATCTTATCTTTGGCCTTGGTTTTCTTTGATGGGGGTCTTTTAATACATTATGCTGGGCACTCAGTGGGCCCTTTTAATCTGTTAACAAATGTTCTTCACTTCTGGAAAATTTTCTTGGGTTGGGAGACGAATAGCCGCCTAAATATATATGCAGAGGTAGGGGACCTGGGATGGCCAACTCAACAGTTCTCAAACATTTTTGTGTGTTGCCCCTTAATCTTATTGATCACTGCACAGAGCTTTTAGTTCTGTATGTTATGACACCCTTCCTCTCATCTGAGGCAGGAATTTTTCATTGAAATGAAGATTGAGGTTAAGACTTAACTTCTGATACTAGAATTTATTGGATTCCTTCTCAATGCAAGCTCGATCTGGGCCTTACCTCATTTGGCCAGAACAGCTCACTGGTACAGCTATCCTCTCTTTAAGAGCAAGTTCAGAGCCTCTTCTGACATCCATTTTGGTCTTTTCTTCCTTTCCTGTCTTTTTAACGACCTTTTGCCTTCTTCATGCATGATGTTCTTGATATAATCCCACAACTCATCTGGTCTCCGGTCACAGGTGTTCAGTGCATCAAATCTTTTCTTAAAATGGTCTATAAATTCAGGTAGGATATACTCAAGGTCGTACTTTGGCTATTATGTACTTGTTTTAATTCTCTTCAATTTCAACTTAAATTTGTGTATGTGCAGTTGATGATCTGATCCACAGTCAGCCCCTGGCCTTGTTCATGACTGAGGGATGATGTTGAGCTTCTCCATCACTTCTTTCCACATATGTGGTCGATTTGATTCCTGTGTACTCCATCTAGTAAGATGTTTGTATAGCCACTGTTTATGTTTTAAAATGGTATTTGCAATGAATAAGTCGTTGGTCATGCAAAATTCTGTCATGCGATTTCCAGCATCATTTCTGTCACCAAGGCTATATTTTCTTGCTGCCATTGCTTCATCCTTGTTTCCAACCTTCCCATTCCAATCACTGGTAATTATCAATACATCTTGGTTGAATTTCTTGGTCAATTTCAGACTGCAGAAGTTGGTAAAATTCTTCAGTTTCTTCATCTTTGGCTTTAGTAGTTGATGCATAAATTTGAGTAATAGTTATATTAAGTGGTTTTCCTTGTAGGCATATGGGTATTATCCTATCACTGACAGCATTGTACCTCAGGACGTATCTTGAAATACTCTTTTGATGATAAGTGTGGCTCCATTCCTCTTTAATTTGTCATTGCAGGCATAGTAGACTGTATGATTTTTCTGATTCAAAATGGCCAATACCAGTCCATTTCTGTTCACTAATGCCTAGGATATCTACCTTTATGTGTTCCATTTCATTTTTGACAACTTACAGTTTTCCTAGATTCATACTCTGTACATTCCACGTTCTAATTATTAATGGATGTTTACAACTGTTTCTTCCTATTTTGAGTCGTGCTCCATCAGCAGATGAAGGTCCTGAAAGCTTTACTCCATCTACGTCTTTAAGGTCAACTCTACTTTGAGGAGGCTTCTCTTTCCCCAGTTGTATATTGAGTATCTTCCAGCCTACCAACCTATATTGCTCATCTTTCAGCAATATATTAGACAGTGT